TCGGTTTCACGGTTGGTTGCGATGGGACCTATTTTCTTGAGGACCGTAGGAGGCACACGCATGAGCAATAGGCACTCACTCAGAAAATGGTGTAATCCATTCTAATGAATCTAATCCTTTATCCATAAGGAACATAGGTCAAAGATCCTCCCTGCGATGCAATAAATGCAATAAATGTCCCTTCGGCAATCCAAGGATTACGATTCCACCGAATTCCGCAGTCCTTTCACGGTAGCTCTGCATCTGTACCAAATTGTTTCGTCTTTCTTGATGCCGGTTTCTGGAACCGTTACGCTGTAACTGCATTCCATAGGCGTGTGTTGTTTTTTTTCCCGATTCCTTCAATCTTGTAGCACAACTGCTTTCAAGGATGAGCTCCACTGGATGAGCCTTTGCCATCTTCAGGGGGTTCTCTCGACTTGCAACAAACCCATCCGGCGATGTTGCTCTCACGTCTCCCTGAAGTATCACATGAAGCTTCATTGGACCGCAGTTTCTAGTGGAACTACATCCTTCTGCGAGTAATGCCCGAATGATCTTTCTTGTGTATAGTTTGCATCGCTTCTCCCGCTTATCGCAACTCTTATCTGAGAGCCAAGTCTGTGGGTGATCCACGTCAGGGGACACGGGAGGTACAGCTGGTATCTCTACACCATCATCCTTGATTATCACTGCTGCCGCCTCAGATGGCGCTGCTGACGGAACACTGCCAGCATTCCTTACTTGATCTTCGAGCATGCAAGGAAGACGCAAGACATAGACCTCTTTCGGCCTGGTGTGAGAGCCCAGCAACATGAACACTCTGTGCACTTTCTGCAGCGAGAAGATCCCCGAGCGCACCGACGCCAGCAAGCCATCCAGACTCTTCAAGAACTTCTGGTGTTTTTTCCTCAGTCCTTGTTCCTGACGTATGCGTCGCCGATGTGTGCGAGCTGTTGCACGGCTCTGATTCACCTCTCCCATGCGATCAGCATGATGAGGTACCGGGGACGGCTGATTTTCGGAAAGCAATTCACGTTGAATCTCGTCATAAGTTCGAGGCATCTGACTGTGCATATACAAAATGTACTTGATCAATTCTGCGACCACGTCCGCCACGACATGCGGATCGATATTCCCGCCTCCGCCGCGACCGCTCAGCTTCACTCGTATCTCCATTCATTCACACAAAACCTAAACCCACTAGCTGTTGAGGCACAGGATTTGCAATGCCCTCCAGTCTCGGGAACCAATCTAAGGACGACAGCATTGCTGACAGATCCGTGAACAGCAGCAGATATGTACGGTGAAAAGATCTATGGCGGCAGAAAGTGCAGGAAGAGAATATGCAATGGAACGCTTCGCCTCATGTACCACCCGCACAAACTTCTGTGTGCGCGTCCGCGTGGGTGTCTGCGATCTGTTGGGGGGTGTATGGGTTTGTGTGCGTGCGCATGTGGGTGTGCCGGTGAGTGTGATCATGCGTGCGTGTGTGAGTGTGCGGCCATTGGGCCCGCAACACCATTCTCCGAGCTGACCTTACTATGTATTTTGGCTCGACCAATTCATTGAATTTCATTCATCAGCTAATCGATCGGTGCAGAAAAAGGCAGAAGGACGCCATTGCCATGAAATCGCGACAAGGGTCCTACCGTTGCTAGCCAAGGGAAAAAAAAAAAAAAAARAAAAAAAAAAAGAAAAAAAAAAAAAGAAAAGAATTTCCGATCGGGGCAAGGATCCAGAGCATTTGTATTTCTGAGTTCAACGTAAGGAAGGTTGGCGGATTTGATTTGCGATTTGATTTGCGATTTGATTTGGGATTTGATTTGCGATTTGATTTGGGATTTGATTTGGGATTTGATTTGGGATTTGATTTGGGATTTGATTTGGGATTTGATTTGGGATCGACGGTGATCTTTGCAATTGCGGGGAAGGTGGTTGGCAATGTGTGCATTCTTGTTAATAAAAAAAATCAATCTTTTAGTCGAAGAATTACGCCTAGTAAACCAAATCAATCTATCAATAAAAGAATAAGGAGGGTGAAAATAGAGAGCAAGTCCTTCGGGAATCGATCTAGCAATCAAAGAATTTAGGAAATTTCCCTGTAACGTTCAGTTAAATTGGATCGGAGCCGTGTTTTTCAAAAAAATAATAAAAAATAAAAATAAAATAAAATTGGAACGATACACAGAATAGTAGCATGAACCTGCGCAGAGAAGATTAGCATGACCCCTGCACAAGGATGACACGCATAAATCGAGGTTGAGGTAAACAAAAAAGAAAAAAGAGAGAGGGAGCAATTGATCGATACGTTCTTTACTGAATGATGAAACCACGAGCATTGATCGATACGTTCTTCTTTACTGGATAAAATGGATCTCTCAGGAAATGGGAAAAAAAGGAAAATTTAAACAGAAAAGAAATGGGCAAAAATTGAATCGAAAGTGATCAATGGATCGATCCATTACTGTTCAATGGGACGGTTGATCGATGGCTGAACGATTTGACCGCGAGCAGGGTCGACCAGGATCATGGTGAAAATATGGACAGAAAAGGAAACGCCAGAGAACAGCAAGGGAAAATGCCGAGAGAGGAGGAAGGATGAGTGGAGGGAAAAGAGATAAAGAAAGGGTGGCAAGACACGATTTTGCGGTGGCCGAAGAGAGGGGGGGGGGGGGGGGGGGGGGGGGGGGGGGGGGGGGGGGGGGGGGGGGGGGGGGGGGGGGGGGGGGGGGGGGAGGTCTCGGGGTTGAACTGTACACATCTGGATGCAGAG